CGGGAGCCAGGAATAAAAAAAAAGTTGATTGTTTAACACATATACAAACTGCCCAATCCAATATCGGGAGCCAGGAATTAAAAAGTTGATTGTTTAACACGCATACAAACTGCCCAATCCAATATCGGGAGCCAGGAATTAAATAAAAGCTGATTGTGTAACACATATACAAACTGCTCAATAAAATACCTGGCCCCAGGGATTAAAAGAAACTAATTGTGTAACACACATACGAAATGCTCAATCAAATCTCGGGACCCAGTAATAAAACACTGACTGTGTAACACTCATACAATTTGCCCAATCAAATCTGGGGAGCCAGGAATAAAAAAGATGATTGTGTAACACACATACACACTGCTCAATCAAATCTCGGAAACCAGGAATTAAAAGAAACTAATTGTGTAACACGCATACACACTGCTCAATCAAATCTCTGGAGCCATAAATTAAAAGAAACTAATTGTGTAACACACATACAAACTGCCCAATCAAATATCGGGAGCCAGGAATAAAAAGCTGATTGTGTAACACAAATACAAACTGCCCAATCAAATATCGGGAGCCAGGAATAAAAAGCTGATTGTGTAACACAAATACAAACTGCCCAATCAAATCTCGGGAACCAGGAATTTAAATAAAAAGCTGATTGTGTAACACAAATACAAACTGACCAATCAAACCTCGAGAGCTAGGATTTAAAAGAAACTAATTGTGTAACACACGTACAAACTGCTCAATCAAATCTCGGGAGCCAGTTATAAAACACTAATTATGTAACACACACTGAAACTGCCCAATCCAATATCGGGAGCCAGGAATAAAAAAAAAGCTGATTGTGTAACACGCATACACACTGCTCAATCAAATCTCAGGAGCCAGGGATTAAAAGAAACTAATTGTGTAACACACATACGAAATGCTCAATCAAATCTCTTGAGCCAGGAATTAAAAGAAACTAATGGTGCTAAAGGACCCTGTCGTCTGTCGGACTGAGTAAAAAGACCCTGTCGTCTGTCGGACTGAGTAAAAAAACTTTGTCGTCTGTGTCTGTCGGACTGAGTAAAAAGACCCTGTCGTCTGTCGGACTGAGTAAAAAGACACTGCCGTCTGTCGGACTGAGTAAAAAAACTTTGTCGTCTGTGTCTGTCGGACTGAGTAAAAAGACCCTGTCGTCTGTCGGACTGAGTAAAAAGACACTGCCGTCTGTCGGACTGAGTAAAAAAACTTTGTCGTCTGTGCCTGTCGGACTGAGTAAAAAGACCCCGTCATCTGTCGGACTGAGTATAAAGAAACTGCCGTCTGTCGGACTGAGTAAAAAGACTCTGTCGTCTGCGTCTGTCGGACTGAGTAAAAAGACCCTGTCATCTGTCGGACTGAGTAAAAAGACGCTGCCGTCTGTCGGACTGAGTAAAACGACACTGCCGTCTGTCGGACTGAGTAAAAAAACTTTGTCGTCTGTGTCTGTCGGACTGAGCAAAAAGACCCTGTCGTCTGTCGGACTGAGTAAAAAGACACTGCCGTCTGTCGGACTGAGTAAAAAAACTTTGTCGTCTGTGTCTGTCGGACTGAGTAAAAAGACCCCGTCATCTGTCGGACTGAGTATAAAGAAACTGCCGTCTGTCGGACTGAGTAAAAAGACTCTGTCGTCTGCGTCTGTCGGACTGAGTAAAAAGACCCTGTCATCTGTCGGACTGAGTAAAAAGACGCTGCCGTCTGTCGGAATGAGTAAAAAGACCCTGTCGTCTATCGGACTGAGTAAAAAGACCCTGTCGTCTGTCGGACTAAGTAAGCGACTTTCGTCAGACCAGTGGACTCCTCACCAAAACCTCATAATCCGTGTCGAATTATCACGTGCCCATTGCAGTCCTCCGAGCTTATTGTCAGTGATGAATGGGACATACTTCTACCTTCTCTATCTGTTGTCTTTCGAGGTCTGCTAGAAATGGGACGGTCTTTAAAACTGTCGGTTAGGTTTTAAAAAACGCTGCATTATACGGAAAATAACGGAATTGCTGACATTAGAACGTGTAGCTTTTTGACTGTATGTTATATCATATTGAACCATTCCATAACCTTGCCATCCATCAGCATTTGCCCAATTTAAAGTACAGTATGAGGACAAGTATGATTTTCCAGTAAAACACGTGCAAACGCAGCTTTAGGTGGCGAAGCAAACTTGTGTTTTGTTAGAGTACGTGGCGCCCAAGCTCAATCCGGGTTATCTTTAAGTTGGGTATTTGTAGCATACGGCACCAAACACACATATGGACACTGCAAGGAGTACAACAAAATCAAATAGTACGTGCTTTGTGCAATAGCCGATTTTCACGTAAATGTTTGATATTTTTCAATCTTAAAAAGAAAATAAAAGAAAACGTGACATATCAGATGAATAATTTCACCCTTGCGTCCAACCTGATAAAAGATGAAACATGATCTTTATCGATTATGCAAATAGTAACCTAAAACGACCGTATACATTTTAATATCCGTAAAATGCCAACCAGGCAGATATAAGAAAGGTCCCCATTCCCTGTAAAATCCACGCTCATTGAATATATCGTAAACAAATTAAAATCTTTCATATTCAAAATGACATTGATTCCCGTGAGTGGGTGTCAATGTGTTGATATATCAGACCGGGAATAAAAACACCAACTTGTCATTACTGCTTAGTACAACGGATCAGCAATGACAGGATACACGAGTCAGGTATTACATCGGGGACGTGGCCGCAAATTATATTGCTCACAATAATCTGTGGAGATTGAGCTTTAAGCTCTTACGAATGGATACCCACAGGTCACGCACTGATCTAGATACAACAAAAACAACCTTCATCCACGGCTTCCAATCACAACATCTCCAAAATACGTGGTTGTGTTGCAGCAGCGGCGTTAGGTGTCATTTCTTTACCAGATTTGGTATTTGTTACGGTCGTAATAATAATATTTTCTTGTTTGGTAATGAAGTTGTACGTGTTTGATGCGCTTTAGTATGGCTGGTGTTGTTAAACTTGTTCTCATTTCAAGTGGTGGGTATTGTGAATAAAAGAGTCCGGAGACGCTAACCCTTCCGGAAAATCTGGTTTCATTCCACCTGTACTTTATCGGTGGTTTCCGTGCAAATCTTTCGTTTTCGTTTGTAAATAGTTTTGTCCTATATTTTTCAGATTTGAACCTGAATTCATATTCCACGTAAAAGACATCACTAGAATCTACACGTAGGTGGAATTCGAATTTATTTATTATACAGTGTGGTATAGACACCGTCTCTGTACTGACTAGTAATCACAAGTTCGGAAGTTATTTTATAAACGCCTTGGCTGTATATCGGAATTGCATTAGCCCGTATAAATATTTAGATAGATAGCATGAAAGCTTGCATTCCCTGTGTATTATAATGCCACTTGCTTGTAATGCTTAATATGTTTACTACTTACTAAATTTAGCCTTTAAATCGACAGATCTTTATCCACAACATGGATTTTGCCGCTTGGTCATTTTTTTTTGTTGTTTACGAGTTGGGTATTTTCTCTTCTTTTCCGTTCTTTCTATTTGAATTCAAAGTGGGCACATCCAATCGATTTTAACAAATTTTCACAACAACGAGCTTCTAACAGTGAGAGTTATGACTTTGATTTTGAAGTAAATGCCAGTTTTTTTTCTGGAAATTCGTTGAGCTTGGACCTAGAAACACCTTTCCATTAAATATCATGCTGCTCAGACTTTTAGTTTACCAGAAACATTTTACAGATTTCAAGACATTTGATCACTGTGACCTTCAATACTGGTCCAAGTCATTTTTCACAAACGTTAGTCATCATACTAGGAACCTAACAGCCAAATACCATTCTTTTACAACTTCTGGTTAGTCAGAGAAGTCATCGAAAGGTTTACACATTTGACGCATGTGACTTTTAATAAGGATCAAAATAATTTCTTTGTTTCTTTTCGCAAAACTTGTTGGGCTTCATCCTAGGAACCCAACAACTAAATATCATGCTTCTGTGCCTTTTGGTTAGTCAGAAAGAGTCGTTTAAAGATTTCAACAAATTTGACCCCTGTGACTTTTAATAAAGGTCAAGTTCATTCCTTTTCACAAACTTTGTGGGGCTTCATCCTATGAACCTATCAGCCGGGTATCATAATTCTACACCGTATGGTTTGTCATTTTAAGGTTTTAACCAGTTTTAACCCTGTGATCTTAAATAATCGTATTTAATTCCAGGAACCTATCAACTAAATAACATGCTTTTGTGCCTTTTGGTTAGTCAGAGGAAATCGTTAGAAGATTTAAATAAATTTAACGTCTGTGACTCTGAATAAAAGTCAAGGTGACTTCTTTTTTCGAACTTTACCGGGATTCTTTCTAGGTGTACCTATCACTTAAATATCATGCTTCTGTGTCTTTTGGTAAATCAGAAGAAGTCGCTGAAATGTGTAAACCAATTTGAACCATGTGAATTCAAATAAGGGTCAAGTTCATTCCTTTTCACAAACTTTGTGGGGCTTCATCCTATGACCCTTTCAGCTGGGTATCATACTTCTACAACGTATGGTTATACAGAAGAAGCTGTTGAAATTAAATTTATCCCAGCAACCAACCAGACATTTACTATGGCATTTGGTCTGCTGGTTATTGACAGGAAATTGTTTAAATAGAAAAGTTGACACAGGATGTTCCAGCGACTAATACTGCACCACAGTATAAGCTTACCTGGCCCCCAGTCAGCTTTTTCTTTCTTTTCCTTTTCTGATCAGCCCCAAATTCAAAAGGGCACAACTAGGGCTCAATGGGAATTTACATAAAATTTTAAAAATATCTGTCCACTACTTCTCAAGAAATCGCAATAACAAGATTTTTTTATGATCGATGGATGGACAGACATCCTGATGATGGACCTTGGAGCAGAGGTAGGAAGACTTTAACGTCCAACTATCTATTGATGGTAGTCTAAAAAACTTATTAGTATCTTAAATAACTTAACACTTGACTTCCATTGTATCTTTTATTGCCATTATACAAATTTATGTGTAAGATTACTCACTAAAACATGTTTAAAATACTGAGATAAAACTATTTGAGATCTAAGAAAAACATCAATATAAACAAATGCATATAATGCAAAACATACACAAAGATATTACAATGTAACTCTACCATTACTATGAAGGGGGCAGTTGTCGACATGGGAAGTGTTACCTTTAACACACTTGTACACTCTTCATTTACACTCCCTACTAAAAAAATTCACAAAGTATACAATATCTAGTCATATGTATACTAGCACACATATGGGTCTATTTCAAAGAATATGATACAAAATCTGAACAACTCCAATAACTAACAACAGACCACTAATCAAAGACCATTCTACATGATGTGATTGATGCAAACACATTAGTATTTTTACACAGAAAGGGGAATCAACTAAGTATATAGTTTGCCTTTCTTAATCACCCTAAATCATTTTGTGTGAATTTTTCCACATACGGTACATAGTTTTTAAACCAAAAGTCCTTGTTCGGTTAGAGTATCACCCAATGGTTAGTGAAAATTTTCAATATCAACAATGCCAGAGATAATGATTGGTCAAATGGACATACTTTGAATTTACTGGGTGCAAACAATTTGATTTTGTATTCACAACCCAATGGTTAATTCTAACCAATTAAACAAGTCGACTTGAGATACAGCCTGGTAACGAAAGGCTTTAATCATCTTTTGTGCCATAATGGACTAGGGGAAGCAACTCACTAATTGTCAATATCAGCACAGAGAGAAAATATCATATGATATTGATGAAACAGTCATTCAGGTAAAGTTTCAATAATTCCATAACCTTTCATATCTTTTACAGATATATTGCAGTGATAAGAAGATTTAAATCCTAATTCCAAATATTTGTGGCAATTACATGTGTATCAACACCTGAAAAGTCCATATCTTTACACGAGATGTAAAATAAAGGCTGTTAACTTTATCTGGCTTGACCACTCCATATATAAATGAGTATGAAAACAGAAACATAGAAATGAATTATACTGGACAATGTGTTATCAAACAGTATACACACAAACTTTGTGTAAAAAAATGAGACATTTATGAGAAGTCATGCTCTATTAATGTGGGATAGGATGAGAATGATACCTCTATAGTTTACAGGTTGTTGACCAGATTTCCTCAGTCGATAACACGATTGCACTGCTATGTCTGAGTTACACAGATTTTGATTGTATTAACTCATAAAGGCAGTGTTATTACTAGCTTTATTTAAAGTTCTTGATTAAAGAAAGCTTGTGTACCAACTCCTTTAACAGACATGAAATAAACTTTTTTACAGTTTTCATATATTACTTTTTGTTTCAGTTTGTCAAAGATTCAACATTGAAACTGGTGTATTGTGTTTATACAGTACAGCAACTGATATAGAGAACAGAATTGTAAAGGACTGTCACAAAATATTAATACCATGTCTCCGTGTTGGCCCCAGTATAGAAATATCATCAGCAAAGTCCTTCTCCCTGAATTAGCAGTAGCATGGCACATTTGTGTACATCAAAATGCCTTGGTTATCGTCATTGAAATAGGTGTTGAAAGTGTCCCTGAAACATAGTTAGATATTGTATACATGTACATTACACTAGATGTTTGGTTAATCCTACACTAAGACAGGGTCAAATATTATATAAGAACATTAAACAATATTATATGTGAACATTTAACTAGTAAATTCTTTTACGAGATTTAAAGAAATGTTGATTTTACAATTCTCAATATACAAGGCGAACTCTTGGCAAATAGAACAAACCAACCAATCAAAAAACACAGCTATGGAAACAAATTCACAAATTTAAATGAATTTATTTTTAATGATGATCTTATCAGTTGTCTGTTTTAATCAAAATGTTACAAAGGTCTACATCTGATAAACTTGAATAAAAATACCAGGTAGAGTTTAGACAAACACATCAACTGGCACAGATATAGATTTCTTACCCCTTGACCTGCCTCACAACGTGAACACTTTGTGATCCTTTGTCTGTTGCTTTCACAAATACTGTTGTTGTTGAGATTATTGTTAACATAATGCTGCTCTTCAGAACTTATCTGTGGTTTGGAAATAAAAGATTTGATTTACATATACCCAATAAACATAACATCTTTTTAAGTAGAATAGTTTACTTCAGACATTGACATAATGATGTGTTAGCAATATTTCTAAATATTCAATTGAATGCAGCATAGAAAAATCTTTCCAGGCATTGCCAGCTGACTCTCATTATCTATAATGCAGTACAGAATCAGTTATGAAACATTGCGCTTTGATTGCATTGGTTACCATGATTTATATAATATTTCTAAATCATTTTTTAAAAATCTTAAATTCAATTAGTTGAAATATACTTGTACATGTACCTCCATAGGACAGTCATCTGTTGGTTGTGCAATGCTTGGTGTTGGAGTTGGATGTGATGGTGGAAGGTTGATTGACATCTTGGTGGTATTTATGGGCATAGAGTTATAAATCTCCTCCCGGATCGTTGTGAGGCGTACTTGGTTATTACTATCCTGGGTACCGGTGCAGACCCTCTTCTGTAACATTTAAAACCGAAGACTTGATGATCATGACAAAGGAAGGGAAGTAAATCAAAAACATAAGTTAAGGCATAGGGGGTGCAACAATCCCAAACGGATATTAAGCATTTTCAATGAAGATGTCGCTAACTTCAAAAGATTAAGGCCCAGATATACGTACCGGTAAAAAATATTGTGAATCGGATAAGATGCGATGCTGAACGTTTGCCGCTTGGTGACAAATCTCTTGATTCATAAACGGATTCTTCCTTTTCCCTGGAGATGCGAACATGACGATGAGTATTGATGGTTCTTAAATGAATAAATGATGTATTCAGATTGCTTTCAAGCATTACTTTAAAGAGTTTTCATAGCAATATCAAAAGAAAACACCTGTTCATTGTTTATATTTTCGTTTTGGCGCGGAAATGAATTCTAAGCATGCGCGAAGGATGTTGTAAATACAAAATAGGTGTCGAGCAACGGCAATTTTCGGATTTAAAAGGATTCAATACAAATTAAAAAAAAAAAACAAAGGAAAAAAGTAGAATAAGACATTTGAATTTTTATATATCCTGGAACTTACATTCAGGCTTGCGAATCGTTATCAACATTTTGTTGAATTCAGTAATTAGGAATGTGGTTTTGTGGTAAGAATAGAAAAGGAAGCTGACTGTTAAGATATTTCAGTTCTGAAGTTCTTTTGCATTTCAGTTTAAACAGGTGTAATGGTGGCTATGGGTATGAAAATCCCCACAAAGGGCAAGATGTATAAATCTGAATGATTCAACCATCAAGATTAGTTTATTTATAGAACGTTATTGAAATATCTGCACGTACCGTTTTACCGGTTTGAATTTCACTTGATTTCATACAGTTGGACCCAGTAAATATACAATGGTACATGTAGGCTAATAATTAATATTTGAATGTTAAAACTAAGTTGTTATCTATTTCAATAACAAATAACGAAATAATTAAATTTCAAATGGACTTATTTCAATGAAACCGACATCTGTGATACGAAAAAAAAACACTTTCTCAATAAGAACATGAAAAATACCATCAAAGTTTAATTGACAGTGTCGCATCTGCATCAAGTGTAAAAGGCATCCTATAAAAAATCTGTAAATAAGAATGGAGTGGACCTAAATATAGAATTTAATTTTGTGTTTAATGTATGTTTTACATGTCAATGTAGATTTCAATGTTGTGTTTAATGTATGTTTTACATGTCAATGTAGATTTCAATCTTGTGTTTAATTTATGTTTTACATGTCAATGTAGATTTCAATGTTGTGTTTAATGTATGTTTTACATGTCAATGTAGATTTCAATATTGTGTTTAATGTATGTTTTACATGTCAATGTAGATTTCAATCTTGTGTTTAATGTATGTTTTACATGTCAATGTAGATTTCAATCTTGTGTTTAATGTATGTTTTACATGTCAATGTAGATTTCAATCTTGTGTTTAATGTATGTTTTACATGTCAATGTAGATTTCAATGTTGTGTTTAATGTATGTTTTACATGTCAATGTAGATTTTAATCTTGTGTTTAATGTATGTTTTACATGTCAATGTAGATTTCAATATTGTGTTTAATGTATGTTTTACATGTCAATGTAGATTTCAATCTTGTGTTTAATGTATGTTTTACATGTCAATGTAGATTTCAATCTTGTGTTTAATGTATGTTTTACATGTCAATGTAGATTTCAATGTTGTGTTTAATTTATGTTTTACATGTCAATGTAGATTTCAATGTTGTGTTTAATGTATGTTTTACATGTCAATGTAGATTTCAATGTTGTGTTTAATTTATGTTTTACATGTCAATGTAGATTTCAATGTTGTGTTTAATGTATGTTTTACATGTCAATGTAGATTTCAATATTGTGTTTAATGTATGTTTTACATGTCAATGTAGATTTCAATCTTGTGTTTAATGTATGTTTTACATGTCAATGTAGATTTCAATCTTGTGTTTAATGTATGTTTTACATGTCAATGTAGATTTCAATCTTGTGTTTAATGTATGTTTTACATGTCAATGTAGATTTCAATGTTGTGTTTAATGTATGTTTTACATGTCAATGTAGATTTTAATCTTGTGTTTAATGTATGTTTTACATGTCAATGTAGATTTCAATATTGTGTTTAATGTATGTTTTACATGTCAATGTAGATTTCAATCTTGTGTTTAATGTATGTTTTACATGTCAATGTAGATTTCAATCTTGTGTTTAATGTATGTTTTACATGTCAATATAGATTTTTCTGGGATCTGGTATTGAGGATCTTAACTAGTCCTGCACCAGAAATAAACTTAACTTCAACTAGCAGTTATGTATAACAAATGCCCCGCATACCATCAGTATAACTCTGTCACCTCTACATGTTTATAGATATAATCTGTATGATTAATATAGGCAGGTTTTTCTCACTGTAGGTGGTGCCTAGTTAGTGTGATGTACAAACATATGAAGATCGCGCATGAAAGTTCTTTCGAATATGGTCACTGGTCGAGAATATCTATGTCTTGTTACGGATTGGTTTACCTGTCCAAAATTGTCATTTCAACATTATTTATTTTGACCGTTTTTGGGTCCTCTTCCTCGACATCCGTAGTCTTCGTCCCTCCGTCACTGCCTAAATGTAGGAACGGAAACAGCTACATGAACAGCACGTATTCGCAGTGACACGTGTAAGGTGTTCTATTCACTTGTTTCGTTAAACCTTTAGAGATGAAATCCTTAAGACCTGCACCCAAACAAACTACATTTAACTGTCTTATGCCATACATCCTATACATCTTGTAAGTCACATGTTTTTCACGTGTCTTCAACTGTATATAAAACTTCAAATCAAAAATCATCAAATAAGATTTATTTATTCTGGGTACCGAACGTTTGATATGTAGTGATTGGCCAGTCACCTGTCGTCTGAACTTTAACAGGTTAACATAAAGGACATTGTATATCTACATCGTAAATCATACTGTCTCTATTTCTAACACTGTATTACTATAAACACTACGCTAACTTTACTAGCTCTTCAGACAGGTCTATTAGCACTTTTATTAAACTCGTTTCTGTATTGCCTTCTGTATGTTATCGATGTGCAAGGTATTTAAAATGATAATCTAAATACTGCGGATCTGTTATCACACCAATGACCCATTTGTTCTAACTAAGTAATGTTTAATACGACCATAAAGTTTCTTGTGTCTTGTATCATAGTAATATTTTCTGGCGTAATAATGACAGTTTTTCCCCATAGCTTCTGTTATTTGCTTTAAAAAAAACCCCACTGCATTTGATAAAAATCTTGACTTTGACACGTGCTAGTTTCAGGTATGACGTTCATTTCAAAGTCAGAGATTGACTCAAGGTTGTATTGTATGTCAATGCACGGACACCTTTCTGAAAGATGCGATTGATAAACGTTTTTCCAGGGTTAGTTGAACTAATCATACAAGTAATATCGGCCGAAGGGATTATCGAGACACTTTACACTGTCTTTCTCGATTTCAGTTAGTGACTTCATCTTTGTTTTATGTTCTTTGTATGTGATACAACTTACGTGTTTGTGTCTTGATAAAAGGAGCATGTCTGTTTATTTCCGTTTATTCTTTCCCGGTAGTTGGTTTTGCCTCTACATTCAATCCTGTACTTCCGGAAGTGGACACGATTATTGTTTTTACTTGCATATTCCATATATTTTAGATGGTAGGTATGTATATGCATTCTTCTTTAACATCAGAATGCAAATTGTGTTCTATCAAAGGCTAGATTTACGCCATAATTGTCAGTCTATCAAGATATACCCAGAATCACTCATTATATCATGGTTCTCACCTTTACCTGTTCGTGCCGGTGGCTCACGTGCACGTTAGGTGTATCTCTGGCGCATTAGATTCAGACCCCTTAAGAATGATTTTTCGGTAGCTATGTTGATGCCCTGATACCAAAAAAATACATCAATAACTTGAATATTATTGAATTATAAGATTCATAGGAAAACTGATTGATGAATTACCAGTATTTTACTAAAAAATATCTACTAGATACCACCTCAAATTCGCTCACCTGTAATGATGGACATGCGTTTCTCGTGACATCACTTAATCACAGAGTTAGCTTAGTGTGACCCTGAAGAATTCGTATGATATAAGATCATCAGTTGGACAGGAATGACATTTTTTATGAAAATCAAAATGCATAGTGCAAAAGTGGTGGATATCTGTGTCTTTGTGTGCACCTTTTCTAAAGGGTAAGATTCAAGTTTTTATTGTTTGATCATTTTTTTCTTAAATGAGCAACATTTCTTGGTTAACTTCTATTTTATAACACAAACTATTTAAATAAAGTTGATTTTTCATGTTTCGGCTACAACTCACTATTTAAATGAAATAGTAAATAAGTCGTCAAAAGTGATAATTTATAAATCATTGTTTTTTCATTATAAGATGTGCAAGTTCGGACTTCCATAGCCAAAAAATTGCAAGAAGGTGTAATCTATTATTCATGATCAATTTTTATTCACATGACAGATGATAATGATACATTGGTATCTGAGGATGAATTGATAAGTTATTTCATCATATCTAACAGGATGCTTGACATGTAAAAATGTGTATTAAGAAAAAATATACAAAAATGCCAATGAAATATATTCTCATAATATTTATGGTCAGTAGTACAAATCACAACTTTTTATTTTCTCTAGAAGCGTGACATGATACAGCAACCAAAATTATCTGTATGCGAAGTCACACATATCAATAGTTCATGTGATATGGCTCGACAAAATGGCCGTTCCAAAATACATAATTGTTACGGAACAGATGTCCAGGTGATATAGTTATAATCAATGTGCAAGACATCAGTAGACAAGTACTAGTATGCATGGTCTTCATTTCAACACAATATTGGTATGCAATCTAGGAACAATGTACCTATTTCTTCATGACCAACCATTCAGGAGCCTTAACTTATACTGTACAAAAATTAAACTCATTAATCACAGTCACTAGCCTTAGTAGGCAATGTCAAGAGTTGAATAATCTTCAATTTAAACTTCTATCTTCATATAGAACAAACTCAATCAATGCTACTGTGCTGCTTACAACAGTAATAATGATAAACATACATATATCTGTTTTAATTGTACTTTTGTATATTTACAATTAATGTATGAGTGTACACTGTAAAGCTCTCAAAATGGCAGCATCAAAGCATGCCAGACCTGTTGATATTTACTATGTACTTGTTAATTTGTTTAATGAAAGATATTGTGCAATACACTTAACTTAATTTTTAAATGTCTATAAGAGAATGAAAAGGTAAAACACAGAATGTATTTAAAATTAAGATGCTGTCTTCACTTAGTCCAAATTATTCTGAAATTCTATCACATTTTGTATTGATCAGGAATTTATCGACACCAGAGCAACATCAAAAAAATTATTAGAATGTCAGAAATGATTTGGACAAGTGTATATTCTACCCTTTGTCTTGCACACTCATCATTCATTTCAATCTGTTATATTACAGATGAGGAGGAAAAAACATATCTTGCAGTGAAGTACTATATCAGCGTTCAACTGAACTGTCAATTGCCACAACTTGTTGAGAAGATGTACATATATGCTGCCAAACTAGGTTTTGCTCTGATTATCGATACTAACTTTATAAGGGCAGCTGGACAGCACATATGACACTTCCAAACACTGAAGGATACAATATTTGTATTATAAACAAATTGTGACATGGCCAGGATTCAATGGAAAGTCCATGAACTTCCATGGAGACTCAAAAATTCAATGGGCAGTTTCTTTTCATGGATCAAGCTTCTCCGTGTAACATTGTATTACAATCACTTTACAAATGTTTCAGTAGCTATGGAAACATGTCTGGAACCAATTTTCTGGTTTGTGGATAAATTTGCAAAGTATTTAGGACCAGTAAGTGTCTTTATACCAAAATACATACTTATTCATAATTCAAATTTTCTGTATGTATGATATATATCATTGAAACTGTACAATACTTAGATAAATTAAGATACATCTGTTTGTCAGCTAGTCTGAATTATTCTAATGTTTTATGTTTTCTTTCTGAGGTTGATGAGCACTCCAAACTGATATAAAAAGAGTTGATAGTGATAGAACATCAGAATGATTGGATAACTGATTAGCATATTGGTTCATTCTTCCTTGTGACAATGTACTGTTTTTCCATTTCAAAACATTTAATTTTTCTTACCTGAAAAATAACACTCAAATTAGTTTGGTAATCTTGTATGTTCACTGGTACTGTTTTCTTCATGGTATAGAATAAGCTTAATTAAGTCTACTCTCACATCACCATATTTATCTACAAGTAAGGCCCTGGCCACAAATAAGCCCCACTCTTTATTTTTGCAGAATCATCAATTTTTTAATGCTGAGCTAAAAGTAGTAAAAAAAAGCCCTCATCACAGTGTGATACTATACTTTAAACAAGAGAAGAGTGTTTATATGGATGTGTTAGCATTATTACAATCCAGTTACAATATATATATGTAAACCATTATGTTTGCTTTTTATATCATATATCAGCTCAAAATAACCCTGTATCTATCTAATTTATTGGTCCAGCCATGGAATTAGATATACATCTAGTCCTACATGGCCATTGTCTAGCTCTTATTAGAAGTATTTTCTTTCACTGGTTTTAAGGCTTCATTTTTTAAATATAGATATTAGATAAATTACCATATCACTGTGAATCATTTGATTAAATACTTTTTTTTCTGTTTTTAATCATGATCAATCTGTCTTTAATTTCTGTGTTCCAGATTTTTATGACGATGGTGATATTCCTTACGACATCTGTGGTGGTGATATTCTATACATGTTTGCTCCCTCATGTGTACGCACAGAGTACAAGTCGTACAGTCTTTCACTTGGTGTTTGGCCACTGGCTGCTTATCAATATTGTCTTTAACTACATCATGGCTGCTTTCACAAATCCTGGAACACCCCCAATGGTCAGTCTTAGTGCTAAGTCAAAGTGAGGAGATAACAGACAAACACATACTATATTTACTCTAATAAACACCCAGCGGGCATGAAATTCTTCAAAGAGAAGGTGCTTTTGTTTTTGTTTTTTATTGCCTAGAGGATTATTTTGTTTCTGCATTAAAATTTTATTTACTCTGGAATTAAACTTCCTATGCATGGAGAATTTGAGATATACAATATGTATATAAGCACATGATTAGTCATACAAGGGAAAAAAATTTCTGAAATAGAGGAGAAATCTGAATATGATATTATAACATTAATCCATTGGTTCATTGGTTTTAGACATTACTGATGATGTACATTTGTGTTTTTGTTTAAAGGAAATTCCTGAAACTGTCTCTATATGCAGGAAATGCATAGGTCCCAAACCTCCACGGACACATCACTGTAGCGTTTGTGACAGGTGCATACTTAAGATGGATCATCATTGTCGTATCCTTATCAGCTTCAATATCATCAACCAGTATAACTGAAAACACATAAAATGATAATGATCTGTATAACATATATAACTATTATATATCTTAACCATCAACACAGCCTGGCTAAACAACTGCGTTGGATTCTACACCCATCGTTTCTTCTTTCTGTTTTGCTGTTACATGTTCTGTGGATCGCTGTATGTCTGTTTCACAGGATATGATGTATTTACTGAACATTTCTATGGTAAAACTGTGAGTACATTTGTTATAATAACACTGTAGAAATAAATCGGGCACTATATTACTTAGTTTTTCTATAACTGTATCTAGAATTTGAATTACCTCCCTTCCTTCAAGAAATCTCTAGATTCAGGAAATATTTATAGATTGCATCAATTTGATATAAATTTACATTTAATATCTGTTTTTCAGTTTGTCGTAATAAATAGAATGTACAAATATTTAAAAGAAAATAAGTAAATAAAAGTACATGTATTAGTATTGTCAAATGTTAGATGAATGCATTGTAACAGCTTCAGCTAAATCTTTAAGGGCAAACACATGTATGTATGATTATTAACAATTAAGTACTGTATACAGTGATATATTTGCCACATTTAACTTTCACCATTTTACTCTTTTTTTTAAAAGGGCTAAAATAAATTGAGAATTAAAGTTGCAGCTGAAATATATGTATTTTGCATCTTTTGGCAAATTTGACCATGAAAATGACTAGCTTTATATGAGGTTGAAATACCTACATATGTAAGGTGAATGTTTCCCATTACACAGTGTTCATGTATGTCCTGATGGGTAATCGGGTGGTACAGTGGTAACACACTCATATTTCACCTAGACGGCCAGGGTTCCATTCCCAGACCAGAAGTGAAAAGGTGTAGTGTTAGCATACTGGACCACTTGACTTCTCCCTTGATAATCCCATTTCCAACATCGGAAGAATGGTTAATATAAGCTGAAACTTTTTTTTTCGCAATTGTTGTTAAATAAATAAAGTTTGTATCGCTTATATGTCCTTATATCATGTTATAAGTGGGTTTCTCTGACATCCTCTGAACATTTTAAAACTAGTAATGATTGAAAAGTTATGTATAAAAAGTTATTGGTATTTTTCTACTTTCTAGCCCTATCCATTTCCAGCTGTCCTGTACCCATTAAATCTTGTCTATGATGTTGTGAACAAAACATTATCAGTAAGTACTGTAACAGTCTTCTGCATAAATTGGTAGAGTTTTACTTCAGATTAATTGACATATTTCTAACAAACCTACTAGACAATTTTTTGTTTTGTTTTTTTGCTTTTTCAAGATAACTCCTGCATAACAATCAAACCAGTAATGAAATGTAAATTTTGGATTAGAATGTATCTGTAATCCTACAAATAAAGAATTGTTTACTATCTCTGTAATCTGCATGTGTCACTCTGCAATTTTTATTTCAGCAGTAAGAACTATTCAAATTACACAAATGTTTATGTAAATTCATCTGGTTTAGAGTAGTAATTTTTGTTGAATGACAAAGATCTTTATTGTATCATATGGTTTCTTTATAGACAGCTCCAACAGTTCACAATAACTACAATTTAGAGGTAACCCATGAACACCAAAGCTACCACTTGGCTGTCATATTTGAATTCCTAGTGTGTTCTGCTGTTGCCATAGCAATCCTCGGACTTATCGTGTGGCATTTTCGGATGATAAGTCGCGGAGAAACCAACATAGAGATGCACATCAACAAGAAAGAAAGAGAGCGACTCAGAAAGAAAGGAATTGTAAGGCATATCTAACATGACAGTATAATAACTTGAAAGTAAAACTTAATGGTGACTTTTTCCAAAATATCACCTTTAGGAACTTATGGTAATAGTTTCTGATTATGTTGGACCAGTTGTCTTTATGAGTTCCTGTGTACTATGTCATGTTGTTGATCTTAATCTTAGTAATATGAATTTGAATTATACTTTAAACAAACTTCTCAAATCTCCAAATTTTAATCAGTATCTTCTGAAATTTATAATGAAATTTAAGCTCTGAAGCTTATCAAAAGTTCCAACAAAAGGGATGAAATATCTTTCTTTTGCATTGATTCCTCTGCTTAGCAGAGACTGGATGTCTGTAGGGCAATTTTAGACTAATATCCATGACTCTCATTATCTTTTTATTGTAATAATTAAATGGTTAGTTCAATAAGAGTCATAACTTGATAGCTGTTGATTTATTAATTGAGATTTTCAGCCGAACACAATTGCTTGTTAATAACGTAATGATCATGTGAGGTTGAAATCATTATTAGATTCTGGGTCTATAAAGCCTCTATATTACAGGTATGGAAACTTGAGTGGATCAGTAGGAGTTCATTTACACCTCATGATGTAATCAATGTTTATGTCATAATGCATTGTGGAAGAGTTAGCAACTGACAAGGATTACTGTGAATAATTTCAAAACAAAATTATCTCATTTATAAAGATATGAGTGTAAAAACACAACCAACAGCACTTGGATTTCTTCATGAAATGATGACACAGATTAAAAGATAGAAAAAATGATGAAAAAGATAAGAAAGAAGATTAAAAGTATTCCAGAATGAAAAAATCTGAATTTATGTTGATAGAACCATTAATGATAGGACATGTTTTCAATTGTAAACAAAATTTCTAATTATTGAGTGAACATTGATCCTGTTGTCAGGATCTCATTTCTTTAGGCTAGAAATGGAAATTTCCTTAGCAATGACCAGAGTTCCATAAACACAACTGGTAAGATTATGAAGGTTGACCTACACAACAGATCTTATACACTGTACAATATAATCATGTCGATTCTTTTAATTTTCTATTCCGTCATTTGTTTTCTTACAGGCTTTTAGAAATCCATATGATTTTGGTTTTATCGAAAACTGGAGGATATTTTTTGGAATCGAAAATGGAACTGGAAGGTATGTATAATGGATACCATGTCATAAGTGGATAAATTATGGATAAATTTCTGTGATTATGTTAATATAATGGATAAGAAAAAGTTCAAAAATAAATGAATGGTTCAAGCCTTTCATATTCTAACACAACTTTTTCCATTATACAATGGTTTGAGGAGATAATGAGGCAATTATGTGACTTGTTAAAAAAGGAGTTTTAGTAAAGATTAGGGTCAGTTATTCTCTATTTACTAGTAAAACAAATTCTAATTTGTTCACCACAGATCCTTTGTGAGACATATACTGTTTCCCTCTGTTCACCAACCCACGGGAGATGGTCTGACGTGGCCACATGAGATTTACCAGGGCGATCACATGCTACAACTTTTATGACATAAACTTGACTGAGGGTTTGTTTTAGTTAGGTTAGCACAGTAGTGTAGTAATCATCATTCTATGGTTTTAATGTTAGAGATTAGGTTTCCTGAATAATTTCAGAGTTGAAGTTTGAAAGTTACAGAAGCAGTCTTATCATTTCAATTTCAACAAAATCTAATTGAATAAAGCTATATCTGTCTCAGCAAGTTGATCTGAAAAGAATTGATCTACCAGATAACAATAAAAGAAGCAGTTCAGTTTCTGTATTCATCAAAAAAGTAGTTTATTTTTAGCAACTATTGGTTTACTTGGTGTAAAGTTTTCCCATCTTTGAAATAGCAAAATAGTATATTTAGTTGTTTAAATAAACTTTTCGAAAAAAATCTTTAAAATGTCATTTGAAATTGGATTGAAAAGAAACCTGATGATAAATGATGTTTGTATCACATTGTGTTAAACAAAACATATAGGATGCCCTCAGTCAGAGTAGTAGATTTAGATATGTTATCTGCTTTGTGAGGATTGTGATTGTTAAAGACCAAAGTAAAACTGATACACTGTACATAAGTGTATCATTATTTAAAGTTGTGAATTGAACATACATGGTTATGTGTCTTTGTCCTTATAAACGTTGTGCTGAATAGCTTGTGTATTACTATAGAAAGTTTATTTGAACATTTTATCAAGCATTTGAAATACTGTATACAATTTTGAATGTTATATACAAAACATTGTGGCATAGGTGTTGTTATCGATAACCCCTTCCCTGCAGGCTGGAGAAGTGTTGGGTGGTTTAAACTGACATTCCTTTTACTTGTGTATGTAGCCTCTACAAGCATCCAAGCTGAAGAAAAGTGACGTAATGACTCTACATACAGTGTGGTGACACAATGACTCTACATGCAGTATGGTGACGTAATGACTCAACATGCAGTGTGGTGATGTAATGACTCAACATATAGTGTGGTGACACAATGACTTTATATGCAGTATGGTGACGTAATGACTCTATTGCAGTGTGGTGATGTAATGACTCAACATATAGTGTGGTGACACAATGACTCTACATGCAGTATGGTGACACAATGACTCTACATGCAGTGTGGTGACGTAATGACTCAACATGCAGTATGGTGACGTAATGACTCTACATGCAGTATGGTGACGTAATGACTCTACATGCAGTATGGTGACGTAATGACTCAACATGCAGTGTGGTGACGTAATGACTCAACATGCAGTGTGGTGACGTAATGACTCTATTGCAGTGTGGTGACGAAATGACTCTACATACAGTGTGGTGATGTAATGACTCTACTGCAGAATGGTGACTGTCTTTCATTTCCTTCATCAAATGAATGAGATTTGTTTAACTTTCTCATAAATATTAGCTAAATGCACAATTGAAAATGCTCTTGCCATGAAAGTTGACTAAAGGTGTTCTTGTACATGTGGTTTACATAGATAGGAAATGTTAAAACCCACAGTTTTTTGTCTTCTGTAAAATATAGAAAATATTGATGTTGATTATGGATGTAAAATGTCGCAATTATTCACTGGTCCTGCAAAATTGAATATGTGAATCATATATGTATTTTAGATTAGAAGTGTGTCAGTTCAGATACAATTTGACCTGGCTTGGACACATATTTTACATTTTGGCTTGAAGTGCAAGTGTATGTATTAAATAATTAGATATGTAAGCAATTAATTACATCACAGGCTACACGAATAATTAAGTAAGTTAATTGATTGATTATGTTTTTACCCCAAGTGTGGGTAAGTATTTGAAGAAGGAACAGGGTAATCTGTCAGAAACATATAGAACCACATCATTGCTTTACAGATAGTTGTCATTTCCTTTATTGAATTTCTATGGAATCATGTCTATTGGAGGTTGATACAAATTAATGGAACAAGAAGCTACAATGTAGCTTACAACAGTTGATATACTTCATGTGATGAACATTTACATTGTGAGTGTGAGCTGGTAGAGTGGAAGTATCTCAGAACAATTAAATGATGAGTGTGAGCTGGTAGAGTGGAAGTATCTCAGAACAATTAAATGATGAATGTGAGCTGGTAGAGTGGAAGTATATTGGGGACATTTAAATGATGAATGTGAGCTGGTAGAGTGGAAGTATCTCAGAACAATTAAATGATGAGTGTGAGCTGGTAGAGTGGAAGTATCTCAGGACAATTAAATGATGAGTGTGAGCTGGTAGAGTGGAAGTATCTCAGAACAATTAAATGATGAGTGTGAGCTGGTAGAGTGGAAGTACCTCGGGAACATTTAAATGATGAATGTGAGCTGGTAGAGTGGAAGTACCTCGGGAACATTTAAATGATGAATGTGAGCTGGTAGAGTGGAAGTATCTCAGAACAATTAAATGATGAGTGTGAGCTGGTAGAGTGGAAGTATCTCAGAACAATTAAATGATGAGTGTGAGCTGGTAGAGTGGAAGTATATTGGGGACATTTAAATGACGAGTGAGAGGTGGTAGAGTGGAAGTATATTGGGGACATTTAAATGATGAGTGAGAGGTGGTAGAGTGGAAGTACCTCGGGAACATTTAAATGATGAATGTGAGCTGGTAGAGTGGAAGTACCTCGGGAACATTTAAATGATGAATGTGAGCTGGTAGAGTGGAAGTATATTGGGGACATTTAAATGACGAGTGAGAGGTGGTAGAGTGGAAGTATATTGGGGACATTTAAATGATGAGTGAGAGGTGGTAGAGTGGAAGTACCTCGGGAACATTTAAATGATGAATGTGAGCTGGTAGAGTGGAAGTACCTCGGGAACATTTAAATGATGAATGTGAGCTGGTAGAGTGGAAGTACCTCGGGAACATTTAAATGATGAATGTGAGCTGGTAGAGTGGAAGTACCTCGGGAACATTTAAATGATGAATGTGAGCTGGTACAATTTAAGTACCTTGGAACAATTTATTGATTATTTTACGTCATTCAAATAAATTTATATTTGTTGAAGCTCTGACCTGTGTTTTGTATCATTGTGCATCTGCATGCTATTTCTAAATAAAGATAAAGGTGGTGCAAATTAAATGACTTTCTGTAAGTTTTGCCTCGTTCAGATCTGATTGAAGATTATAACTATTGAACTATAAATAATGAAAAAAAATACTAAAGGAGGAGGAGGAAACCAACCTCCTGATCTTATCCGGTCATAGATCGGAATCAAATATTGATATGATACCATGAGAATATTGCACAGTAATCAAAATCATAGATAATACTCGAAAATAGGAACGAAAGAATGAGGAGATCCATGAAAAAGTATAGAGATGTGACAACACCAACAACACCACTAGGTATAGAGATGTGAATACATCAACGACACCACGAGGTATAGAGATGTGACAACATCAACGACACCACTAGGTATAGAGATGTGAATACATCAACGACAACGCTAGGTATAGAGATGTGAATACATCAACGACACCACCGTGTATAGAGATGTGACAACATCAACGGCACCACTAGTTATAGAGATGTGACAACATCAACAACACCACTAGGTATAGAGATGAAACAACATCAACGACACCACTAGGTATAGAGATGAGACAACATCAACGACACCACTAGGTATAGAGATGTAACAACATCAACGACACCACGGTGTATAGAGATGTGACAACATCAACGACACCACTAGATATAGAGATGTGATAACATCAACGACACCACTAGGTAAAGAAATGTGACAACATCAACGATAATGTGACAACATCAATGACACCACTAGGTATAGAGATATAACAACATCAACGACACTACGGTGTATAGAGATGTGACAACATCAACGACATCACTAGGTATAGAGATGTGACAGCATCAACGACAACACTAGGTATAGAGATGTGACAACATCAACGACACCACTAGGTATAGAGATGTGAATACATCAACGACACCACTAGGTATAGAGATGTTACAACATCAACGACAACACTAGGTATAGAGATGTGACAACATCAACGACATCACTAGGTATAGAGATGTGACAGCATCAACGACAACACTAGGTATAGAGATGTGACAACATCAACGACACCACTAGGTATAGAGATGTGAATACATCAACGACACCACTAGGTATAGAGATGTGACAACATCAACGACAACACTAGGTATAGAGATGTAACAACATCAACGACACCACGGTGTATAGAGATGTGACAACATCAACGACACCACTAGGTATAGAGATGAGACAACATCAACGACACCACTAAGTATAGAGATGTAACAACATCAACGACACCACGGTGTATAGAGATGTGACAACATCAACGACACCACTAGATATAGAGATGTGACAGCATCAACGACACCACTAGGTAAAGAAATGTGACAACATCAACGATAATGTGACAACATCAACGACACCACTAGGTATAGAGATGTAACAACATCAACGACACCACGGTGTATAGAGATGTGACAACATCAAGGACATCACTAGGTATAGAGATGTGACAGCATCAACGACAACACTAGGTATAGAGATGTGACAACATCAACGACACCACTAGGTATAGAGATGTGAATAAATCAACGACAACACTAGGTATAGAGATGTAACAACATCAACGACACAACTAGGTATAGAGATGTGAATACATCAACGACACCACTAGGTATAGAGATGTGACAGCATCAACGACAACACTAGGTATAGAGATGTAACAACATCAACGACACAACTAGGTATAGAGATGTGACAACATCAACGACACCACGGTGTATAGAGATGTGACAACATCAACGACATCACTAAGTATAGAGATGTGACAGCATCAACGACAACACTAGGTATAGAGATGTGACAACATCAACGACACCACTAGGTATAGAGATGTGAATACATCAACGACACCACTAGGTATAGAGATGTGACAGCATCAACGACAACACTAGGTATAGAGATGTAACAACATCAACGACACAACTAGGTATAGAGATGTGAATACATCAACGACACCACTAGGTATAGAGATGTGACAGCATCAACGACAACACTAGGTATAGAGATGTAACAACATCAACGACACAACTAGGTATAGAGATGTGAATACATCAACGACACCACTAGGTATAGAGATGTGAC